CTTTTTATTCTTCAATTATACCGATGCGTAGAGGTTGTCATAGACTACAGTCTGTTCTGTACTAAGCTTATCGGCTACCACCTTGGTAGTTAAAATCTATATCCTACTGCTTGTACGTCAGCTTAGCCGGTCCCCTCGTCTTCTTAACTTTTATAATTGATTTTTTGAGTAGTTAATTATTTAGTCCGGCCCTACTAGGTCTATATATGAACTTTATTGTATAAACTGACTGAAATTGCTTCTTCAGAGATATACTTTTTCAGGTTGTCAAGACAGGTATGATTTCCCGCCTAAACTAACACAAACTAACCAAAATACCCTCTAGTTTTCACTACAGTGGTTCACTGATTTTTCAATCCACGTGCCAAACGACAGGATCCTCTATCACGTTGGGGACTCCCTTGTTAAGCTCAAAAGTGTTCGTGAGAACCTTTTGCTGAGTTCGGAAAGGGATGTGTGAGGTAACCTCTGCCTTTCCTGTGTACTACACTAAACAAGACCACCAATCTTAGATTGGCAGCTTTTAATTAGTGATAGTGGAGTGTATCAAAAGATACTCTGTTGTTTAACAGGTGGACAGGTGCAAAAATGGGTTGCTGTTATGTGTAAAGATGTTGTAATAATTGTATGTAAGGGTTGTTATAATTGTAAAACCAAAATATTGGGGAACAATAATATTATGGAGTGAGCAGTGATTTGCCTGTTATGTGGGGAAATGTCTGCAGGAAGTCTGCTGGGGAGAAATTACAACTGGGAGGAAGGGCCTCCTTATATAGACAACAATGAGGTATTTTGGCTCCAGGGGAGCCAGGAATGAGGGATTTTGGCTGGTTGTACAGCCTTACATGAGGGAACTTGGCCAAGATGGAAGAATACATGAGGGGTTTTGGCTGGTGGTACAGCCTACATGATGTGATTTGAGAAGTTGAGTGGTTTCCGTCGGATTGACAAGCTGTGCAACAGTTGCTATGCAACCTAGCAACCTGCAGGCTGTGTTTTGTAAGCCGCATGATGTCATCCTGTATTTGAGGCTGTACGCATCGCATGACAGGTTGCCAAGGTAACCTGTACGCTGTGCCTGCATACTTCCATTGTACTTGATTGAGATGTACAGATGCCAGATCACATGGCCCGGAGGGGTGAAATGTGTACCTGAATCCTTGTAACATGTAAGGGTGCTTGACCCCCCTACCTGTGAGTAAAAGAGGGGTGTAACATGCAACACAGAGGGGTTACATGTGTCCAAGCCTGCTCCTCTAGGGTGATTTTGGCCCTGGAATCCCTTCCTGGAGCCATATTTGGTGTAATATTATTGTATATACAAGAAAATATAAAATTTTTGAAGTTGTTGGATGGGAACCCATAAAGTATCCCACAACGGGAGTCGCATCCCCAGTATTCACGAGATGCTCGATCATCCGTGGTTTCTCCGAGACCGTAACTATAGGTCCGAATATATCTCCGAAGCTAGTCACCAACGACTGCAACGATCCTCGGAGGGCGGCGTCGGGTCCGAATACCGTAGGTAGACCTACCGGCATCTCGTCCCTCGGCCCTTTAACCCCTTCCGACTCCATCAAACACAGGAACGACTCGCGCGCGCCTTCATAAAACTCGTGGCGGCGGATATTCCTAGGAAGAAAAACTTCATCCTCGTCAGTCATCGCCGACAACTCGTGAGTCAGGATGCTGCACGCGGATGATGCGTTCAGACGGAAGGGAACGACATTACCACCCTCGGCTTTCAGCAGCCACAGGTTTTCGTCCCAGTCCGTCGAGACGACACTCGAGGAGATCCAATCCCGCCCCAGTATTACGTCGTAACTGGCCAACGGCGCCAGACGACAGGCCACAAGGAAATCGACCCCCTCCAAATTGAAACGAACGTCCACCAATCGGTCATCCGAAACCTGTTCGCCAAAGGCACCGGGTTACCTTAAAAGGAGAAGAGGAACGGTAGCTCAGTAGCGCGCGATCAAGAACAAATTGACTAGACACATACGACGATCCAGCGCCGGTGTCAATGAGAACCCCTGGCCAAGCGGCTCTCAACTTTGTGGTGGGAACTTCAGCTCGGGACACTACTCGGTCTCGTCGCTAGGCGAACTCTCGTCGCATGGTCATCCTTTACCACACACCAGAACCATCATCTTTCAATAATCCGGTGGCGAATTCCAGAACCCAACTTTCGGAAAACAGGTTTGGTCCCCAATGCCTGGGGGCGGATCCAAA